GCAGCTTCTTCCTCTGAATATTCCTCAAATGTTTTGGGAATTTTAGCGTCTGATCCTTCAACCGCCTTTGTAGGTATCTCTGCTTCTCCAGACTCTTCCACCTTGTGATTTTAGGAAAGCCTTCATGAGCCCCTTCCAGAAGTTGTAGTTTGGTCCCCTTAGCAGTGGTGGTCGTTGTACATTTGATCCTTCTTCCATATCTCCCATGTTTGATCTTTAAAGCTAGTAACTTAAGCTTTAATGGCTTTGATACCAATTGAAAGTTTCACTGCCCTCAGCGTACGACCTGTAACAATCTAAGATTAGCAGGTTGTGACAGAGGATGCTGTAGCACTGCTTAATACCAAGTTATCAGACAGAGTGCTACACCAACCGTTAAGTAAACAATCAAGAACAGAAAAAGAACAGCACACAACACACAAATTGTTTACACAGTTTGGAGCAAATTCTCCTACGTCAGCGAGGCCCACGTCGGTGGAATAGCCTTCCCACTATATCAACTCAGAGTTTACACCCTCAATGTCAATAGACTCGATCTATCCATTGATCTAAACTCAACAACTTAATGGGTTGCAATAAACTCGGTTTATGCATGTATGCCGAGACTGAAACACTAAGCAACTTATCTGAGACGTGTTCCTGGCCTACGCTCCACGTGTTCCTGGCCTACGCACCAGTTCTTCTACGTTAATCTTCCTGCAGAAGGATATTCTGCATACCAGCAATGCTTAATCTTCAATCTGCTTGGCTGACGTGCTTTACTCTCAGAACTCTCTCTTTGATATTTTTCTCTCGCTGTACTCGCCCACTTACAAAACCAGATCTCTACTTCCGAGGTGTACCTATCCGGTAGAGTCCTTGATATGACTCTCTTCCAATTTCGCACATGTTCATAATCATCGTTAGGGATTGTGACGTGCGAGGTATCAGCGAAACTTAGAGTCCTCCTTCAGCTGAGTATACGTCTAAAAACTACTACACATGGTTTTTGTCAAAAATAAAGCCAACACTAGAACAATGAGACTAAGACACAACCAGGGAACCAACAATATATGCTCCAAATGTTGGGGCACTAGTCTAAACAATGTCAATGATGGAGTACCATTGTAAACATTTGAAAATTCTGAAAGCATTGATGTCATTTATTGAATCTTGAAGTATTTATGTAAAATCACACAATCTGGGAGTAATGGTGTGATTTTTTCTTAATTTGAATCCACTTCAATATCGGTCTCACGGTCTGTGATGGATCTTCCTTTGTCCTTGCTACCTTGATATCTGGGGATTAATTAGAACATTTCTAGGAAGTTGGTTCTGTGTCAAAATTTTCTCCAATTTATGTACTTTTTGCATTTATCCATATTAACAATGTGATTTAGGCATTTATCATGCCATGTGATGAACAATTTATATTTGCTCTTCTTATCATCCACTTCACATTTCATTGCAAAAAATGCATACTTCTACCTTTACCTCCATCTTAAGAAAGAACCATGTTTGACTAATGTATAACCTTTTAATTTTGGTAAGGTACACATGTCTTAAATCACGAATCGTAGTTCTTTTAAAAAAATATTTGATGCTTACTCATATTCAACTTCTCTATTTCTCTTTCTTTTTTTGGCAAAGTACATAAATAATCAGTTTTTGTTTGATCAAAACGGCAATCGAGCTGTTCCCTTTTTATTTCCTTTCCTGTACAAAAATATAAATAGCTGTTGTGTTTTTCTTGCTGGCATCTCTTAGCAGTACATCTCAACCTCCTTTGGCATGAATGACTCAAGTGTTCGGAGCAGATGCAGTCCATCAGGCAGTGCAATGCGTGGAGGCTTCAATGGTCATTATTTTGACCCACTAGCCGTCAAAAGAGAGGATCCTACTCCAGATGCCTATTACGAGTCCACACGTTTGGACTTTCTGCAGAAGTTCAGAGGGAAACGCCCCCAAGAAGAATATATTAATAATACTGAAACAAATTATTTGAAAAAGCCAAAACAAGAGTATGAAGGACAGGAGTGGGAGGAAACTAACTTGCGTCATTTCCCACCGTTTACTGGACCTAGCACTCTATCAGTTTCTAAAAGAAGGGTTCCCTATAAACCGAGATTAATGATGGATAATAGTGTTGCTGCAACACCACGGATGTCCATGCCTAACTCATGCAGGAGCCTTGATAGAATGGTGGCTAAACCTCCCTATTTTTTTTACGGAACCATCATGAATTTATCTCATGATACTTGGGTCAAAATATCACAGTTTTTGTATGCAGTTGAACCGGAGTTTGTCAACACCCAGTCATTCTCAGCCCTCAGTCGGAGGGAAGGATATTTGCACAATCTTCCCACAGGACAGAGATCTCGCATCGTTCCAAAACCACCAATGACCATTCAGGAGGTGATGCCCCACACCTCAAAATGGTGGCCATCGTGGGATACGAGGAAGCATCTCAACTACATTAATGCAGAGACATGTGGGGTATCTCAAGCCCGTGAAAAGATTGAAAGAATATTATCGGAGTCTAGAGGGCTTCTCTCAGCAGAGAGACAGAAAGACATCATCCGTCAGTGCGAGACATTGAATCTTGTTTGGGTTGGGAGAAACAGACTGTCCTCGATAGAGGCAGAGACCATAGAGAGCATTCTTGGATATCCAACAAACCACACCCGAACTGCAGGTTCCACATTGGCAGACAGGCTCCAGCTCTTGAAAAACTGCTTTCAGACGGACACATTGGCATATCATCTGTCCACCTTGAAATCAGTGTATCCAGAGGGATTGAGAGTCCTGTCCATCTACAACGGGATTGGAGGGGCTGAAGTTGCTTTGCATCGGCTTGGGGTTCAGCTGAAAGTGGTGGTGGCTGTGGAAACTTGTGAGACAAAACGAAGGATTCTTAAACAGTGGTGGGAGAATTCAGGGCAGAAAGGGGAGTTGGTGCAGATGGAAGATGTGCAGAAGCTGGCCAGTAACAGGCTTGAGGTCTTGGTTAAAAAGTATGGAGGGTTCGATTTCATAATATGCCAGAACCCTTGCACTTACGCTCAAAAAGCTGACGTGGCTGCTGACATGGATGGGCCCGCAGGTTTGGATTTCACAATGTTCTACGAGTTTGTACGTGTAGTGCAACGAGTAAGGAGTAAGATGGACAGGAGATGATGGCCCGCTTAGCTTCTTCCAATGGCGTAAAAAACTAACAATGGCTTGTGTACTCATTATTAGCTTGTATTGTGTCTTTACTTTTGTGCTATGTGTAATGTATGATCTTCTGTCAAAGTGTTGATTATTTTAAATGCTTAATTTGATTTGAATGAACATTTTGCATTTTTTGCATGCAATAATAAGGTGAAGATAATCTACTCTCCAAGATTCAGGGGAAAGTTTACTCAGGTTCGAACTCCAGCAAATGTGTTGATTCTTTGTACGTTATTAAGTTGAGAAAAGTATGAATATATACTAAATTGTAATGCTCTGTAGTCAATAGTACTAATAAATGTGAAAAAGGCTATTTCAATGTATCGCTCGCGCGAAAATCTGATTGGAAGCAAAATTGGGTTTATTAAGCCCCAACCATATCTCTTATTCATTATTGGTCTGGAAACAAGATACAATACTCATCCTCTCTCAAGTAGTTGATTTTTGTGATTTACTCTACATATCATCAAAATGGTGGTGCTATGGGGACCTCAAGGGTGTGCACACCAAAACAAATACAGAAACACATAACAACTCAAATTATAACTTGAAAGCCTGAAACAAAAAATATATTTGAACTAAAATATATTCGAATCGATTATATTCAAATCGTCTAAAAAATGTATAGAATCGAAATAAAATAGAAATTACACTGAGCGGTCAAACCGAATCATTTACTAGGGTTCATCTCCACTCTACAACCATAACCCGATCTCCATTCGCAGTCGCCCATAGGTTGCCTACGGGCTGTGCCGCCATCAATCAAACGCCACTCAGAAACAAGAGACTTCCCAAGCTCTTAGTAGACTAGCTACCACACCACGGCACCACAGCGTCCCCGATTCCCCGCTGCACTCCGATACCTCTATTCACGTAAGATTCGAGTCCATCTCACCGTTTTTTCTTCAATTTTAACCCTTGTTTCTATGGCCCCCTTGTTTCTCATAGTTAATTCTAGGATGACTGAGAATACAAAGAACATGTGCTTTATAATGTGTCTATGATTGTATGCCCCATTTAATTGGAGTAATGTTGCATCACAAACTTGGACACAAACTTCACAAGCTTGCTATTTGTGTATTTGAATTTTTATTTTTAAATTATTTCAAATCAAGAAACACAAACTGACAATTACCGCGTACCCACTTATTGTAAAATCACATTTCACACAACATCATATACTCACAAATAGCGAACAACCCCTAAAGCACAATTAAAGAGTATTCTTATGTCCCGAAGAATTTCACTTTTTGTTCCCTTCTAAAAAATAAAAAAAATAACCACTTAATTTCTCGTTTTAATATCTTGTCAATATCACTTCCACCCTTTTTTAATATCCCTGAATACAAAATGAGCAAATTTTTTTTAGAATGGAGAAAGTATTATTATTAAAATTAATATTATTATATAACTAAAATGATTATAATAGTAATTATAATAATAGGATGTATAATTTATGGTATGTAACATTATTACAGTACTCAATATCTCAATTTTTATATAAATATATTTTATAAAAATTATATATTTGAAAAATATATTCCAAAATGAATCTATCCCTAATAAATTTATATGAAAATTCAATGTATTTTTTCCTTAATCTACGGTCAAAGTTTAAAAAGTTTGACCACAAAAGTCAAAATGGGAAATTAATTTTAAGACGGAAGGAGTATTATTTACTCCGTAATTGTTATACAAACATTATAGTAGTACTAACATTAAATAATGTAACATGGTTTAATTGTAATTGCTCCATAATATTTAATCATAGAGATTAACATTTTTTAAAACATTTTCCAAGACTGTTTTAATATGATATGATTTTAATAAGAATAAATAACAAACATAAAAGATAAGTTAAATAGAACGCAACCTCCTGGCTCACAAACCCACCAAGGAATCACAACACCTCTGAAATTTTTGCTCTTCCGAAAAAAACCTTTCAAGCAAATTTCGCATTCCAAATAGTGCCTAAAAGGCCAGGGGATTAGATGTTTTGCAACAAGGGAAATTTAGTAGACATAAATATTCACTTTGAATGCACCAACACAAGAGGGAAAGAAGGGGGAAAGGGAATAAATATGAGGAAAACAAACAATCACATTTCACAGAGGTCTGAACTTTCTTGCAGCTCTCAACTGCTGGGCGCGCTTTTTGTCCTGCTCGAACTTACTCTGTAGCTCCATAATCTCTGCATTTCAAAAGACAAACAAAGCACACGAAACTTTCGTGAGAATCTGCAGAAAGATATGACACCAAACGTCGTATTTGACCATAGCCATACCATTTCTCTTGGCATCCCTCTTTTGAAACTGGTAGAAATTCAAACCGGTTTCTTTTTGTTTCTTCTTGGCCAGATTTTCGAGCACAGCGGCCTGGGAAACAGAACCAACTGCAATTCCACTTTCAGAATCTGTCGTCTTCTTTCTTCCTTTGTGATGTGCCACAACTGTCCATCCATCTTCCGCAACCATGGCTTCTTTTTTCTTCCTCTCCTGAGTGCATCCCAAAAAACAAGGCTCATTTTAGAACGACAACAACAGGATATGAAAAACTAATACTTGGAGCGATATTAACAGTATTCCATTTTTGTTAATAACCTTTTCCTTTTCTGCTTCATATGCAACTATATATTCATCAATCCTGTCTTGCAACACTTGCAGTCCTGGCCTGCTCTGATAATATTCTGTAATCCATTCTACATTAAGGGATTATGAAATGAAATCCATTAAAATACATACTAGTAAAATAAACTTGGAAGAAGGTAGATGGTTCCATTTACATGAATGGAAATCTTGATTATATCAATAATTAAATTTTTTTAGCCAATAATATATGAGTATACTACTGATTTGCTTCTCAAACACACTAAACCATAAATGTATGCCAAATCTAAATGAAATTCAGCCATACTTTGCATTCCTTTAGAGGAGTGTTCATCTCCAGAAGAAAGTTCATACACTTCTTCAGCTTCTCCACTTTTCCCCAGAACATTCTCTTCTGCATTAGGAAGATGATCCTTAAGTTTTCTTGACTTGCCTACTGTTCAAAGAATTCAAGCCACACAATTTCTCCTTAAGAGGCAGTTACATAATCTAAAATATGCAACAATAGACATATAACAGTAAAAAGTACTCCGTAAATGCTAATAAATCATATGCTTACTTGATTCAATGATTTTGGAGGTAAGGGACACCCACATTTGGCTCTAAATCATTAATTTTCAAAGAAAATGTTTGTGATGGTCCTGGGTTTCCTCACTTTTCAAAATCATCTACTACGGTATTACCATACAATCATCTACTACGGTACTACCATTCCCAGAAAACATTACAACAGTGTTGAAAATAGAAAAGTGTACAGTTGGAGTTCTCTTGAGAGAAATCATGTGAGCCACATGCTCATCACTTCAAAAGGATATAGAAGTGTTTTGGGACGTCCAAAAAGGGAAAGTGGAAAGTGTTTTTTGAGACCGAGTACTATTTTTTGGAATTAATTTTTCAATTATTAAACAAATAAAATTAAGGCAAGAATTACGGAGTAATTGGTAACTAATTTCGACTTCCCTAGGCTCATCAAAACCCCTTCACTCTCATTAAACAAAACACAACCTTAGTTGGAAATACAATCTTGCTGTTGTAAAGAGTAAAACTAGAAAGTAAAGTTTCTTTTGACATACCATTTTGTTCATCTGGCCTGTTTTCAGCATCAGTATAGGACTTATCAACTCCATTTTTTCGGCTTTTCTTCTCACCCTTTCTCTTCTTTCTTCTTGATTCTCCATTCTGGTTTTCCTCAACTTTATTTGCATCATTTTTTTTCTCAATTGTTCTTGACTTCTTTGTTTTTCTGGTCTGGATTTCCTCAACTTCATTTGGACCACTGTCTGCATCAGATTTTTTCTCAGTTTCCCTTTTCTTCATTGATTTTCTCTTTTGAATTCTCTCGACTTCATTTGCAGTACTGTCTGCTTCAGTTTGCTTCTCGCTTTTTCTTCTCTTTCTTCTAGAATTATTGTTCTCATTTTCTTCAGCATTTGTTGCAATTTTCTCTTCCAAGCCATGTCCACCTTCTATTTCATTAGGTTGGTCAATAGCATCCATTTCTCTTTCAGTCGACTCATCATTCTCCCTCGTCCTATTCCTTGAAAGTTTCTTCTTTTTCTTTTCTCTGACATGTGTATCTACCTCATCTGCTTAAGGAATTAGGATTGAGATCATGAAAAAAGCTCAGTCTCATACAAACAACAATACATACCTATTGAATGTGAAAAATAAGCTTCATCTTTGCTTCTTTTCAGCTTGACTTTTACTTTATTGGCATTCTTTATCTTCTTTTCCATGGGAAACATTCCTATGGCAACAAGAAATCAAATGTGAACATATCAACTTGTTGAAATTCAAAGAAATTAGTATCTAACTACATGCTAAGCATCAAATATGTGAATAATATGGGTGGAATTAATAAAATAAGCCCAAATTTTCTATTTACACATATGGAATATGAATACAGACATGCTTGAGTATTAAGAAGACTGTTTCAAATATAGAGTAGAAAATATATTAATATGAACAAGTATATGTACACACTACGGAGTATATATGAAAAGAGAATAAATAAATGACCAAAGCATTTCTTATCCGGCTTGAGACTTTCTCAATCTTCAGCTCGTATTCTCTTTTTATGGTTTTGACTACTGGATAGATGTTTAGGACCCATAGCTATTGAATTATTTCAGAAATAAAATTCAAATTCATAAATTTTACTACTTAGTAAAATCAAATATGAAAAAGCAAGCAAATAAAATCATATATCATAAACTCATATCAATCAATTCAATTCATCATTTTTCAGTTTTTTTCTTTATATACATATATATGTATGTGTGTGTGTGTGTGTGTGTGTGTGTGTATATATATATGTATGTATGTATGTATATAAATAAAATCTTAAATTCATGTCAATTTGTCAATTTTTCAGTTTTTTTAGTTTTTCAGTTTTTGATATATCATAAAATTCATATCAATTAATCCAAATCAAATAATGAATATATGGAACCATTAATTCATTTATATTTCATAGCATTTAGCAAAGATTTCAAACTAAAAATTAATAATTAACCCTAGATTTTAAATCCAAAGAATGAAACAATGAAGAAAGAAAATTAGAAAAAAATTACTAAATTGGAAAGATAGTGAATACGGAATAGCTGGATGATGCAGTGGAGTCTGGCGGCTTTCTCAGCAGTCGGCACTCGGCACTCTCTTTCCAATTCAGTTTCGGAAGTCCAGCTTCTGCGCCTCTGCGGTTTGCGTTAGTCGTCTAACGAAATAGGATGGGGTGGGGCGGCTAATGAGATGGGCTTTTGACGGGCTGGATGCTGGGGTTCTATCTTCTATATACATACATACAATATTAAAAAATAATTCGGCCCCATACAATCATTGGCCCGGTATTGGGCCGGCTCAATTCGTTTAATGAAACAATAATCGAGTACCCTACACATTAAAATAGCCAAAACAGCCCACGAAATAGCATAGACTCAAAAGGAAATCTCAATATCCTCGCAATTCCAAAAATGGGGCTATGACCAGGGTAAGGACTTCTGGAGGCGATTCTGAGTCTTTCTCGGTAGGGATGGGTTGCACCAGGGGTTTGCCCTTAGCCCTTTTTTGTTTGCCTTGGTGATGGACGTCCCAACTCAAGGTGTTCAAGAAGGGGTCCCATGATGCATGCTTTTCGCGTCAAATGATGGGTTATTTACATTTATACGGAGTATTTTATAATTTTTTCGCATATACTCATTTATATTAGACGAAGTACACAAGAAAATTTGCTTTGCTCAGTTTGGTTCGATTTTTCAGAGTGAAGATCAAAATGGACACCAACAGATAATGGTTCGATTCAATTTTCTACTTTTGGTTGTGATGTTTTTACTTTGATTTTTTTCTAGATGGTTGATTTTTAGTTTTCCCAACCACTCTACTTCCTTCATCCCATAAATTATTAAAAAAAGTATATTTACTTATAATGTAAATTTATTATAATTAAATTTATTTTAAAATATAGTACTACCTCCGTCCCATTGTCTTTGTCCATATTTGATTTTTGGAACTGTTCATCTAAGCACTTTGGTTCATCAAATTCTCTTAATGTGTAAGCCTAAAAATAGTTTTGATTCGTCTTAACATATAGATTATTAATATATAATTTGTACCCGGAGTATAATTTTTTAATATAAAAATTACAAGATAAAATAGATTAAAGAAGTGCATTGGAGGGTGTGCTAAAAGGTAAGAGGACAAACACAGTGAGACGGAGAGAGTATTAACTAAAATTATCAAACTATAACAATCTTTTTATAACTTACTGCAACATTTGGTGCCATTCTTCATAAAATCGTGTCATTCTTCATAAAATCTCAACTCCCTTTCCCCAGACAATATTCATCATTCAACAATTGCAACACTATTAAAGGCATAAAATTCACACATTTTTATGTAGATATAGAAGATAAAGTAGTACATAAATATTTCCTCTATCTCAATTTAATCTTTCTAGATATTATTACAACTTCTCGATAACTTATATTTACATGCATGTTTTCATTGAACAAATAATTTTGTGAAACATAAGTTTTAAAGGGTAGGAGGTTTAAGCAACGAGTAGAAGAAATAAAAAACAACAATTTTACGAATACAACATTGCAATGTGAGTTGTTATGGCAATTGAAACTTTTGTCAACCGAACCATGTTGTTGTTGTTGTTGTTGTTATTATTGTTATTATTATTATTATTGCATATAAGAGTGATTCACAATAATATTAGTCCGTAAAATATAGAGAGTAAATAAATACAGTACGAGTAAATAAAATAAAAATAGTTTCGGCAGCTGTAAAAAGCAGAGCTTTATCTAGAAAGAAACATTTACAGGGGCAATCCACTCTATAAACACATTGCTTCTTGCACCTCATTGCCCCATATTGTGTGTCAAAGTATTGTTTTGTGGGAATGAAGATGTCAAAATATCCTCTGGGCTTCTTTCTCCGAGACTGCTTGCAAACTCACCATTGCCTTTTCCCTTTCTTCTTTTTCTTGCTCCCACCCGCTGCACCGCCACTTCCCTTCCCAGTCTCAGCTGCTGCCAGAGGCGGAAGAGGAGGAGGAGGAGGAGCCGCCTCTGATGAGCTGCCGCCAGTGTTAAACAGGCCGGCTTGCACGGCGCTCCACACCCACTCCATGAATTCCTCTTCAGTCATGGTGGCAGCCTCTTCCATGTTCGGCATCCGAGCCGAGCTGCTGCTGCTGCTGCTCCTTCTCTCATTGCTACTCTTTAATATCACGCTTGGGTTCACATGGAAACTCGGTTTGTGACTGTTGGCCGTACATCTCATTCCCTGCCCCAAAACGTTTAAAGGGAGGGGGTTGGTTAAACATATGGCTCTTTTCTTGAAGATGTAAAAAAAATAAGGTGAGGGACTCTACCTGGCAGCTATACCATTCACTTGCATCATAAATCTTGCGGTCCACACAAACATATGCACAAGGAGTCTCCACCTGCTCAGCCAACAACAAAACAAGCCATTTTAACCCCATAAAAGTAGGATCTATGAGCGTTTGTGTACACAAAACTTACTCGTACTTGGAAGTAGAGAGCCTATTTCGAAGAGACCCAAAAGCACAGACAAACACAATAACCACAGTAGAATACATATCGACACTGGCCACAACATTCAAAACATAGAACACACCAAAAACACATGCACAAAGGTTTTAGAAAAAAAAAACAACAAAAAATACATACTAAGGCCTACCCAACTACTCTAATGTGGCTATGTGCATTACAAACCTTCATCAATAGTCCATATAAGAGTGGGTGTGAAGTCTGTCCAACCCATCCTTCTCCATCTCTAGCCGGGTGGAACTCCTCACATTCCTACGGGAAAAGTAAAGTCATTAAAGTTTACTGTTGATCCATAAAAATATACATATATTCCAGTTCTGAATGTGAGGATGAGAAGATGGCGCTACAACTCTCAGCATATACTCTCCTCTTTCTTTTTCCCTTTTTTTTCTTTTGGTTTAGAAAAATGTGGAATCAAATTGGGAAGAAGTAAAAAAGAAACCTGACACCATCGTGCTTTGTTTTTTGCTCTGTCAGTGCAAATCCAGAGATGAAACTTGCCGCACTTGCAGGGAATCCGTTTAGACTCTGCATGAATATCTACACCAACACCTTCTGCATGTGTAAACTTGCGGCCTCGATTCTGATGTTGTAGCAACACATTGAGAAAAACAGAGCTTGGAAAAAGAAAACTGTGCATTTTTCATGTAAAGTGTAGGGTGCACAATGCAATATTGCATAATGGACTTCAGCAGTAGTAGGCAATTGCATGCTGCTAAAATAAAGTTTATACTGGAGAATAAAAACTACTCTGTATTCAGTTTCATATAAACCAAATCCGATAATTAGACCTTTTGAGGAGTATTTCGGAAGCTATGTAAGTAATTCATCAGTTCTTCACTCCTCAATTCATCATCATACGTTTTTCGCTTGAAAGAATCGAGCAAAACCTGGAAAGTTAATACAAAAAATAATTTTAAATAACAATACTTACATACACCATGTGCATAACTGCATTTGACAGAAGACCAATTAAAAAATGGAATGCAATTTATACTTCATACGCATTTTGGAGTTTCTTGAAAGCATCTGCAGCCCTTTCATTGCCCATATTTTTATCTGGATGAACCAACATTGCCTGGATGCAAAAAAATTAACAGATAATGGTTGGTGAAACTCTCAATTTGGTGCAGATTTTAACTTTTAAAAAGTAGTGAACTCTCTGTGTGTTAACCTTTTTTCTGTACTCCCGCTTGAGTGTCGAAATATCTACATCCTGAAACCTGGATAAACCCAAAGCTGAGTAGTGATCTGCACAGTTCAACAATCTAACAACCTCACTTTCAGATGTCATTTCCAAGTTGGGCACACTTGTGGAAGGTATTCCTCCTCCCCCACCAACATCAGCAGACACTCCGGCTGTTTGTTCTGGAGAGCTGTCAGAACTTTGTTCATTTAAATTGTTCTTCAAGAAGAATACCAGAACATCACTTGAAATAAAGGACAAGTTTAAACCGAATACTAAACCAAGCCATCCGACATATGTCCATCCACAGTAGACAGAATACAAGGTCAAAATGAGCATTGCAATGCGGTCATGTTTCAAACTGGCGAGAATCACTGTATCATGAAAATTACAAATCTTAATTGGGAAAAATATAAGATCAACAATACTTATGAAGCTGAGCTGAAAAATCACCTCCACCCAAGATGACAGGAATTGCTACAAAAATTTGTGTATAGATCCACAAGAAAGCAACCCCAATAACAAATACTGTAAGAATTGCAATTTCGAGACCAAAAAATAGTCCAAATGTAGAGACACCTGCCTGGATAAGAATGGGAACACATGAACAAAAGAAAAATAAAAGCAACCACAATGCCAGTATTAGATAGACAAACAACCACATTGTTGAAGCTGATACAAGGTAAAGAGTGAGGTATTTATGAAGTACAACTCACACCAACCTTTACGCAAACCATCTAAAGAAAACTATGTGTATTCAAAATCTAGAGTCCAGATCTAAGACAATATCCATCTCCTATTCCACGGGGAAAAAAAAGTGGGCACTTACCAGAATCAGTAGGAACTTGAATCTGCTCACTGCAATCAAAGAGAGAACACCCCACCACATGATTGAGAGAAGTGAAGCTGTCCCCATGCATAGGAAAGAGCCCATCCCTCTAAGGCAGCATTCAAACCAAATCATTGACAGCAAAAGCAACACTTTTCCAAAATTCGCAATCCAACTCAAAGCAACAGGATATGCTTGTTCAACCTTCTTCCGAGCATACCAACTAGCATTTGATGCAATGCTCTTCAGACGTCTAATCCATGGTTTCCTCCTCTCTATCCATTCAATACATGACTTTGACACTGACACCACTATGGTCCCCAAATACCTAAAAATAACTACAAACGAATACTCTTAAGTTTCTCGAGTAGCAGTTCTTTCTAATGAGGGACTGTGTCTGCTCTTTGGGTCATCGGATTCCTCGGAGCCATGATCATTGTGGGAAGGTATTTCTTTTCCTTCTCTCGACTCCGAAGCTTCTCCTTTATGAGGATGACTATCCCACTCTCCTACAACTTCTGCATTCTCAGTATCTTTTGTCACAACTGCATCTCGCTTCTCCTTTTTTAGCGATTTTCTGTGTTTCTGTTTGCTCTTCATCCTTTCTTCGGGATGAGAGGAACTATTCAGTTCCTGATGTAAAGACACCCTTGGCACATTACAGTTCAAATGTTTTTCCCCATTGACGACATTTGGCTCTCTCACATTACTGCCTTGCTTTTTATCTGGATGTGCTGAAACCCAGGACCATCACAAACATTTTCTTTGAAAATTAATGATTTAGAGCCAAATGTGGGTGTCCCTTACCTCAAAAATCATTGAATCAAGTAAGCATATGATTTATTAGCATTTACGGAGTACTTTTTACTGTTATATGTCTATTGTTGCATATTTTAGATTATGTAACTGCCTCTTAAGGAGAAATTGTTTGGCTTGAATTCTTTGAACAGTAGGCAAGTCAAGAAAACTTACACTATGTTTGGCTCAAGGATTTTGGAAGGAAAAGAAAAGAAAATGGTTTTCTCTCATTTTCCTCACCAAAATGGAAGGAATTTGGTTTTCCATCCACTTGGTACATTTTGCTTCTTCATTTTCTTTTCCTTCCACTTTTCCCTTCTTTTCCCCTCTAACCAAACAAGAAAAATGGTTTTCCACTTCATTTTCTTTTCTTTTCCCTTTCAAATTCCTTGAACCAAACGAGACTCTGTCGTTTTAAGCTAGGGTTCTGACTCGAGAAGAAATAGCGACCAGACTCACTCCATTCGATTCTGCGGGAGGGGTTTCAGCAATTCAATTCCGCCATTGCTGTAAGATGTGTGTCGAGTAAGCTTTAACGGGCACGGTGAGACCTCTTTGGATTGCAATTACTTCACTCCTGTTTACAATAGGTTTATCTATGCGTCTCAAATTTCTGGTCAATCGGCCATGTTTTTCTAAAGTAACTGCAGCGGAGGAGATCATATTTGAGTCTCTGTTGCAATTTCGATTCACCTTTTCATTTTAGTATCGTTGAGGTGTAAATTCACGTATTGTTGACGGAAACTTCAAGTAAGTTATGTTTTCCCTCCCAAAATCCCTTTCCCCGTCCAGTTTGAGTACTCTCCCTCGTCGTGGTGATACTGAGGAAATCACTTCTTTTGAGAAATGTTTCTCTGGGGTTCTTGCGGTATCTCACCAATACATGATTTGAACATGCATAATTAAAGTGAAACTAGTTATGAAACTTAAGATCCTTTTGCATTTCTTTGCCAGCAAGAACTGCTTTCTGAAGGAGAGTGAAAATATTCTGCACTAACTTAATAGTAATCAAGGTGTCTTGTCTTCTTCATAAGAGATTAGAATGATCTTACATTTCTAGTTATAAAAATAATAAACCTATTTCTTATTTTCAATGGCTGACGTTGATAAATTTATTCTCAACCCGTGAAGGGTTTAAATGGTTGATTATGGTTCATTTTGGTTGGTTGGAAAATTACTTGACTATATGATTTGGTGGATTATTTTGATGCCCCTTGTTGCTTCGTATATATGATGTGAAATTGTCAATTACATTTACCACTTTTGTTTACCAGAACCATCTGTATACTTTGTGTCTGCTTTTATACGTACATTTTTATGTGATAATTATTGAATTGAATTTGGGTGTTTTATGCTATCAGGCATGTGTGATCAAATCCCATCACTGCAAATTATGAAAATGACATCAGATCCAAATGTTTGCCAATAGCACATAACTCATGGCTCGCAAAGGAAGCCTACAAAAGCATGGGTTTGATAGTAATTATCTACAATCATCTACTACGGTACTACCATTCCCACAAAACATTACAACAGTGTTGAAAATAGAAAAGTGTACAGTTGGAGTTCTTTTGAGAGAAATCATGTGAGCCACATGCTCATTACTTCAAAAGGATATAGAAGCGTTTTTGGGACGTCCAAAAAGGGAAAGTGGAAAGTGTTTTTAGAGACCGAGTACTATTTTTTGGAATTAATTTTTCAATTATTAAACAAATAAAATTAAGGCAAGAATTACGGAGTAATTGGTAACTAATTTCCACTTCCCTAGGCTCATCAAAACCCCTTCACTCTCATTAAACAAAACACAACCTTAGTTGGAAATACAATCTTGCTGTTGTAAAGAGTAAAACTAGAAAGTAAAGTTTCTTTTGACATACCATTTTGTTCATCTGGCCTGTTTTCAGCATCAGTATAGGACTTATCAACTCCATTTTTTCGGCTTTTCTTCTCACCCTTTCCCTTCTTCTTGATTCTCCATTCTGGTTTTCCTCAACTTTATTTGCATCAGTTTTTTTCTCAATTGTTCTTGACTTCTTTGTTTTTCTGGTCTGGGTTGCCTCAACTTCATTTGGACCACTGTCTGCATCAGATTCTTTCTCAGTTTCCCTTTTCTTCATTGATTTTCTCTTTTGAATTCTCTCGACTTCATTTGCAGTACTGTCTGCTTCAGTTTGCTTCTCGCTTTTTCTTCTCTTTCTTCTAGAATTATTCTACTCATTTTCTTCAGCAATTGTTGCATTGTTCTCTTCCAAGCCACGTCCACCTTCTATTTCATTAGGTTGGTCAATAGCATCAGTTTCTTTTTCAGTCGACTCATAGGGACAGAATTAATAAAATGAGCCCAATTTGCTATCTATACAGTTGGAATATGAATGCAAACATGCTCAAGTATTAAGAGGACACTGTTTCAAAAAATAGTGTTGAAAATACATTAACATGAACAAGTATATGTACAGACTACGGAGTATATATCAAGGTGTGTGTGAGTACACACACAGTGCAAATTTGAAGTTTTCAAAATATCTTAAGTTTGAATACATCATCAAACCAAATATTAGGTTCCCCTTGATTAAAATGTCATATAAAAAATGTTCAGAGAAAAACATCTAATCAAAAGCATTAATAGTTTAACAATTAACACGCATATTTTGTGATCAAATCATACTAAACTGCACGCCATTTTAAAATAACTCACACTTTATTCAATTAATGACACAATAACCGAGCACCCTACAAATTAAAATAGCCAAAACAGCCCAGAAAATAGAACAGAAAAGCTCAAGAGGAAATCTCAATAGCCTCGCTGCCCTCGCATATCCAAAAAAAAAAAAAACTTATGACAAATTTACAAATTCATACCAGTAGAGCACACGCCATAAAATAACCAAGAAATTGGAAGAAGAAAGGGAGAGGGCTTAGACAAGGAAAGGGAAAGAGAGGGAGGCTGAGAGAAACGGAGTATACAAGTTAGAAGGGGATCGGAGGGGAGAAGAGGATGCCTTGAAGAATGACGGCGGGGAGGACGGCGCGAGAGAGCACGACGCGGGGGCCAGAGTTGGGAGGCGGCCGAGTCTCCCTTTTTATCGTTCGTGCGAACCAGGTATGACTTTTGCGACTCCCCGATTCATTTATTAAAAAGTTTCATTTTCTTCATTTCAGGCCCAAATTGTTTTAATCCCTACAACTGACCCTTCTTAAAATCCTTTATTATAATAAAGGAGACTCAGATGCACGAGAATGCGACATTTGGCATGCCTAATTGGCAAAAAATGGAACACATCAGCAAGCCACGTAATCTTTATATAAAAAAAAGAGTTGGAGTTCTAGAATTACGATATATGGCATGCTGACTGGATTTTTTTTAACATAGACATGTCATCAATAGCATTCACTCAAGATACCTTCTACTAATCTATGATATAATAACATAGATTATGTAACATAATAAAATTAGTGAAACATAAACATAATATTGCATAAAATAAAATTGTTAATGGAAAAATAAAAAGTTTCTTCTAAAATTAAAAAAAATCGGCAAAATTTTTACTACAATGTTTTGCTCGGATTCTAATTAAGCTTAAAAATCAGTCAATAGAATTAAAAATGAAATTAAATAATTTTTATAGAAAAATTAAAGTAAATTAAAAAAAATTTTAAAAAAATGAGAGCTCTTAACATTTAGTAATAATATTTTGATCTACTTATTATTATAATAACTTTATTTAATATAAAATAAATATGATATTCATTCAAAACTTAACTTATATTGACTACAGAACTTAAAACTAATAAAAGTTTCTCTTTATTCAAAAGTCACAACATAACTTATAATGATATATAGATACTCATTTCACCCCTATATCAATCTCACATACATTTAATATAATACTCCGTATTTAAAACTAGATCAAAATATTACCAACAACCATCAGCTAGTAATAAGGTGAGTGATGCACACAAATACATATACATATGCATCTTCTGATGCATCTTGTGGTTTCATTTATGACTGAAAACTCAAGCCCGATCCGTTGATTGACCTTGAGGGTGAGTGAGTGTATGGGCAGGGGCTGAAAGATCCAAATGTGCTGCAGCAAATGACTGGTAGCAGTGTTGTGGGACTTGATGAGGGCAGAGAGTTTGATGTAGAGAAGAACATTGACGACTTACTGCCAGTCGAAGTAAAAGAGCAGAGGGTGAGTAACCTTTTACAGTCAATGATGGTGGGTGGGTGTGTGGCTGCCATGCCACTTCTCAAAATGATCCCAACCTCTGTACTTTGGGGCTATTTTGCATTCATGGCAATCGAAAGCTTGCCAGGCAATCAATTCTGGGAGCGGATCTTACTGCTCTGCACACCCCCAAGCAGAAGATACAAGTAAGCAAGCAAGCAAGTTGCTGTTGGCCTGCGTTCCATCTAACTTTCAAGCTGTTGGCCTGCGTTCCATCTAACTTTTTTCTTTCTTTCTTCCTTGGTGGGATAGGGTTCTAGAAGGCTATCACGCGACATTTATGGAATCAGTGCCTTTCAAGACAATAACAGTTTTCACCATATTCCAAGCAGCATACCTGGTGGCATGCTTAGGGATCACATGGATCCCCATCGCCGGGGTGTTGTTCCCCCTAATGATCATGTTGCTTGTCCCCATAAGACAATT